AACATGTTAAATTTAATAAAGATACCACATTTGTAAACGTATAGTTTTCATCATATAAAAGCGCAAGTAGAATATAACATTTACTACTAACGATATTCGTACATCTATACGATTGAGCTTCCGGTGATATAATAACACAGCCAACCCAATAGTTAATTATTAAATTCTTAACTTCCGGTGGCCCAAACGCGACATGACACATAGATAGATTGACTAAAAGGTAAAACTCAAGTCGACCTAGCCTTCGGCTAGTCCGACTAATTATTCACAGGTATCTATCACGCTCAACGGTTGTTTCGCTTCGATGCAAAGGCACACCTACCTTTCAAGACGGCGCAGGGAAGCGTGATGGAGACTATATACTTTTTTCCAAAAAGTGGGCACAGAAAAAATGGGTTTCACGCGCGAAAAGCAAAATAGTCACAGAAAAAAAAAAAAATGAAAACTACTTTGACTACTATTGCATTAATTCATAATTTCTTTTGGAAATCAAACTTAGGACTATCAGTTTGTTTGAATGGAATAATACAGATTCATTCATAGCGTCTTACAAATGCTTTTCGTCCTTAAGAAGGACGTTAACAAGCGTTAAGACCAGGAATCGAAAAGTGATGAAAAGTTACTTGTACAAGTTGTACGCTAGTTACAGCCAATAATCTCCTGCGTATGTTACATCTTATGTCATTTTTAACTCGAAGATTGCGAAGCAATCGAAGAGTTATTGGAGGGGGACGAATCTGTCACTCACTCACTCACTCACTCACTCACTCACTTTCCTGTAAACTTGAGCCTGCGTTACTTGTGTTCAAAACTATTTATTTATTCTCATTGTTCTCTATNCTTTCGCGGGCGCGTATATAGTCCGGACGCCGGGCTGAAAACTGATGGAGGCTCCGTTTAATAATAATTCAGACACAGCTAGCGTACGTCGGCATATCTTCACTGTATACGACAACAACAACACTAATAAAAATTTATTCATATCAAATCGTTTAAGTGAAATGATATACAAAAAATAAGGTTGCAAGAGATAAGTTTTAGGTATTGGTCCTAACCGCTCGTGTTGATRTTGAAGTTTGAGAATTGAAGCTAGTGACTGCTAAGTTTACCCGGGGAAACTCCGGGGTAAAATTACCGGGGATGCTCGCCAGAAAAAGACCTCTAAAAGATCTTTAACCCCTAAGAGATTGCACAACAAATACTTGCAAAAACGCAGAGGAAAATCAAAAGCGATGCGCTCTTTCTCTTCTTTTTCGAGAAACTGCAAATTGGCACCCTAAAAGMTTTCAAATCACGAATTTTTACCCCTAAGAGATCCGACTAGCAACCCTGGTAAAACAGATGACAAGTCATTCATATACTTTTGAAATTATGTTTATTAATTAAGGTTATTCCAACATAATCTGCAGTTTTATGACAATTAACCAATGTAAAGGTATAAGTAGAAAATGAACAAAACACCAACTTGAAGCTTTTTAAAATAAAAAATAAAATATCTCTGTTTTAATGGACATTTCGCACTTCGAAATTTTGCATCGAATCAATTGCAGAGAATCAATTTTTCCTTCAAGACAAAACTTTTGCCATTTTTTGATGTATACATTATATTGTTTCCTTGTTCCTGGTCTCCATGACCACATGATAACATCGGCAATTTCATTAGAACCGCCTTGCTCTGCGAGTCGTCCCCTAATACTCTGCATGCCAGCAGTTGCAGGCGAGGGCTCAGTGGATGTGTGTTTCCCTTCACTGGGTGAACCAGAGTGTTCTTCTTCACTCGAATTACTATTGGTTGCTCTGTCAGCATACTCAGAAGCCCTGTAAACCACGCTTGGGAACTCCATGCTGGTACAATTAGTATTGTTGTAGCCCTTTCTAATGAAATTTTCTGCAGGCATCTATGAACCAAACAAAATGGTGGAAATGCATAACTGAGGGTAAACTGGTTCCAATTAACTGAAAAAGCATCAATAGTCAATATGTGTTGCATACGGGTCCTGTTTCCAGGCAACATACTTATTCGTTTGATGGTTGATTCTGCTTGCAAATAGATCTATG